TAGGACTTCCAGTACTATGTTGAGTGGAAGCAGCAAAAGTGGGCATCCTTGCCTTGTTCTTGATCTTAAAGGAAAAGCTTTCAGTCTTTCACCACTGAGTATGATGTTCATTGTGGGTTTTCCATGTATGGCTTTTATTGTATTGAGGTAGTTCCCTTCTATTCTTAGTTTGTTGAGTGTTTTTTTTTATCATGAAAGGGCTTTGAATTCTGTCAAATATTTTTCTGCATCATTTAGATGATCACGTGGTTTCTTTCCTTCATTCTGTTAAGGTGGTGTATTATGTTGATCAATTTTCATAGTGGAACCATGCCTGCATTCCAGGAATAAATCCCAGTTGGTCATGGTGTGTAATCCTTTTAATATGCTGCTGAATTTGGTTTGCTAGAGTTCTATTGAGGATTTTTGCATCAATGTCCACAAGGGATATGGGCCTGTAGTTTTCTGTAGTGATTTTGTTTGGCTTTGGAATCAGGGAATGCTGAGCCTCATAGATTAAAGGAGTGTTCCCTCCTCTTCAGTTGTTTTGAAAAATTTGAGAAGGATTGATGTTAGGAGATTTTTGATTACTGATTCAGTCTCTTTACTAGCTGCAGCTTTATCCAGATTTCTGTTTCTTCATGGGCTAGGCTTAGCAGGTTTTGTTTCTAGGAACTTGTCCATTTCAACTAGGCTATCCAATTTGTTGGCATACAATTGCTCATAGTACTCTCTTACAATCCTTTTTATTTCTGCAGAATTGGTGGTAATGCCCCCACTTTATTATTTTAGTAAGTTGAGCCTTTTTTCTTAGTCCATCTAGCTAAAGGTTTGTCAATTTTGCCAATCTTTTCAAAGAATCAGCTTTTGGTTCTGTCAATTTTCTCCATTATTTTTTCCATTCTCTATTTCATTTATTTCACTCTAATCTTTATTATTTCTCCCTTTTGCTAGCTTTAGGTTTATTCTTTTTCTAGTTTCTAAAATTGTAAAGTTGGGTTGTTGATTTGAGATCTTGTTTTTCAATGTGTTTGCAGCTATAAATTTCCTCTTACCACTGCTTTATTGTGTCCCATGTTTTGGCATCTTGTGTTTTTATTTTCATTCATCTCTAAATATTTTCTAATTTCCTTTGTGATTCTTCTTTGATCCATTGGTTGGTTGTCTTAATTTCTACAAATTTGTGAATTTTCCAGCTTTCCTTCTGTTATTGATTTCTAACTTCATCCCATTGTGGTTGGAGAAAATAATCTGTGTGATATCTTTTTAACTCTACTGAGACTTAATTTATGACCTAGCTTGTAGTCTATCCTGGAAAATGTCCCATGTGCACTTGAGAAGAATGTGTATTCTGTTCTTGGGTAGTGTTCTGCATATGTCTGTTAGATCTAGTTAGTTTACTGTGCTGTTCAAATCTCTGTTTCTTCACTTATCTTCTGTCTGACTGTTGTATCCATTATTGAGAGTAGGGTATTGCAGTCTCCAACTATTATTGTAGATCTGTCAATTTTTCTCTCCAATTGGGTCAATTTTAGCTTCATATAATCATATTTAGAACATCTGTTATTAGATGCATAATGTTTATAAATGTTATATCTTCTTGCTGTATTGAGCCTTTTACTAATAAACATCTTTCTTTGTCTCTGTCAATCTTTTTTTTAATTTTAATTTTTATTTTTTTTAGCAGTTGGCCAGTATAGGAATCCAAACCCTTGACCTTGGTGTTACCAGCACCATGCTCTACTGAGTGAGCTAATGAGCCAGGCCTAATCGCTGTCTTTTGATTAGAGTTTAAGACATTTACATTTAAAGTAATTATTGATAAGTAGAGACTTACTTCTGTGACATTAACTATCCCAAGTGCCTTGTAGAATGTTTGTTATAGACTTGTCTATTTCCTCTTACTGTTATTTAATTTAATCCTCTGTTCCTTATATTTCTTGTAAACTACAAATTAGGTCTAAAGGCTTGGATAAATTCAGGTTAAGTCTTTTTTGCCAAGAACATCTCAAATATGGACCTCTGCACTTCATACTGCATCAAGAGTGCATGATGGCAATGTCCCATGGTGCCCAAAGGTGATGCATTTAATCCCGTGGTTAAGGGGTCATGGGCAAATGCCCCTACAAAGAATGAAGTCTGAAGCTCTTCCCCTGTCCTTCCCCCCCCCCCAAATTCAGTCCAGAAACCATCAGGGAGGGCCCAGCAAGGGAAGATGCCAGAGGAGTGGGGGAAGCCATTGTAGCCAGCAAGGGATGCGACAGGCGAAGTGGTCTGGGAAGGACATTAGTCAGGAGGGCTGCCTAGCACCTGGGATTAGAAGCCAGGCAAAGTAAGGAGTGTTTTCATGGGCCGGGAGAAGAGTGGGGTGCAACTGCCTGGCATGGGGTTTAGAATCCAAGTGGGATAAGAGGGCATCTGGTGTGGAAGGGGTAAGAGGGCATCCCCTCCTCCAGTAGACAAGGGCACCTTTCAAATAACTATATTAAGGATAATGAGACAGTTTGAGAAGGAAGTTATAAATATGGAAAAGGGAGAAAACTAAAATGAGCCCTGTAGTGTTAGATCAGAGTTGGAGGTATCAATGTGAAATCATTTGTTAGTATATCTAGATATAGAAATAAATATAAATATACATGTATGCATGCCCTGAGAGTCCCAATGAACAGCAACACCCTGGTATCAAGTACACCCAGCACCCAGATGTTAGTTCGTAAATACCACTCTCCAATAAAAGGAATGAGAGCTTCTTGGAGAAATGCCTGATCCCAAGGCAAAGGCAGGGAAGGCAGATGAGCATGGAGGATATTTTCCTCTAGGAAAGAAAGGATTCAAAAAATGATGGGACCTTGTCAAAAGGAAACAAAGGGCAGGCTGAGGGCACCCACCAGCCAATTCTTGGAAAATTTGAGCAAAAAAATGATAGTAACAGATGATGGCATAAAAGATAGGAAACCATAAATCTGTACTGATATAAATAATAAATATAAAATTTTATGAAAAACAGGATGTTCACGTCATCTCAAAGAGTTCACCCAAAATATTTTTCCTTTTACAAAGGGAAAATAAGTAACTTCACAATGAGAAGCCTTATAGATGCTGGCTTAAGCAAGTGAACTCAGAACTTATGGCTTAAGGTGACCCTCACATGCCACCTGGCAGGACACAGTGAAGATAATGCAGCATAACTTCTGTGAGTTGTGCCAAAGATGCACAACTCAGATTCAATGGTGAGGAAACACTAGACAAGTCCACTTAAGGGACACTCCACAAAACTACTGGGCTGTTCTCGTCATGAGTGCCAGAAGCCAGGGGAACACTGAGGAATGTTCCAAATTGAAGGAAACCAGAGACACATATCCACTAAATGCAACACAAGCTTCAGGACCAGACCTTGTGCTGGAAGCTCTGTCAGGACAGTCTATTGTCTCACACTCTGTGGATACATGCCTGGGCTATCAGGACATGCCCACCTTGGGGATCCACTGGGAGAAGTGCCCAACAGTGTCTAGCTGCAGCACCTTCAAGATCAGTCGCAGCCTTGGCGCTGAGGCCAATGATGTGACCTGGGGCCTGGGTGTTTCTGTCCCTCATGGCTGTCTGGTGCCCAGTCTCTCCATTCCCCTCCAAGCTTCCTCCCTGAAATCCTCTTGCACTCCTAACTTTATCCCAGTGTCTGTGGACATGACATAAGGTGAATTTCCTGGTTTGATGGCAAGTTGTGGTTGTAAAGGAGAATGTTCCAGTCGGGAGAGGTTTGGGGGCCAAGGGTACCAGGTAGGCAACTTGCCCTGTAATGGTTCTAGGGAAAAGGAGTTCTTTGTATTGTACTTGCAATGTTCCTGCAAGATGGAGATTGTTTTAAGAGAAAATTATTTTTAAAAACTAGTTTGATTCCAACATATTTTATTAAAACTAGCTGCATATAGGAATTTCCATTAAAATAGCTTAAACACAACCACCTTTTAAAACTGAAAGAATAAAGATAAGGTGGCCCTGGCAGCAGTGCTCACCTACCTGGCAATCCGTCCTGTCTGGAATTCCTCACTGCCTTGTCAGCTTTTGACACTTTCACGCTGCCTTCTCTGGAGGGCTGGTCCTAACGACCCAGCTGCCCATACCGGGAGCAGAAGCTAGGGGCCACTTTTGTGGAGGTCAGTATTAAACAAAACTAGACAACATATTATTTATCCATCCATATACTCACAATAAAACTGCCCCAAATTGAGCTATAAATTCAATATAATTCCAATCAAAATACTGTCAGGGAACTTGGCAAATGAATTTAAAAATTTCAGAGGACCAAAATACCGAGGTAAATTTTGAAAGAACAAGGCACTGAGGAAACAGGTTCATCTCAAGGGAGCGAGTGCACAGTCACCAGGTGGAAGGGCACAGGGAAAGGTGTGCACAGAGGCTACAGCAGGGCACGGGCACCACACTCTAAACACAAGACCCAGGAAATCATCATCATTACCAGCAGCAGAAATGCTGTTATAAAACTGGCACCTGCACTTCCCCAGTGTCCCATCTGGGATTAAGGTGAAATTTCAGATGCCATGGGCACGATTTCTATATACTGGCCTGCAAAGGGTATGCCTGCTTTATTGTCTGACAGAGTTTGGATGTGTTGTCCTCCCAGAACACATGTGGAAATCCGATCCCCAATGTGGCAGTGTTAGGAGCTGTTTGGGTCATGGAGGTGGATCCCTCATGAATGGATTAATGCTCTTCAGGGCAGAGGTGGGGTAGGGGGGTGGGGTGGCGGTGCTAGTGAGTGTGTTGTCACTCTATTAGTTCCTACGAGAGCTGGTTATTTAAAAGACCCTGACACCTGCCTGCTGTTTTCCGCCATGAGTAGAAGCAGCCTGAGGCCCACACCAAATGGTGCTGTCTCAGAATCATAAGCCAAATAAACCTCTGTTCTTTATAAATTAACCAGTCTCGGGTATTCTGTTATAGTAACACAAAAAAGGACTAAAACGTTACCCTAAAAATAAAAAGCCAGTGTCCACCTGCACTAGAAAATTGCAAATAAAAAGTTTAATTTCAGAAACTGAGTTCACCATTTATAAATACACTAAAACATAGTCAATGCAGATTTAGATTAAGCATAGGTACAGTATTTTAACAAAACAACTTCTCTAAAGGGTCACAGGCAGAGTGATTTGTATCACCCAGAATATTTAATTGGTTTGAAATGAGAAAATGAACCTTTTTTTAGATGTTAAAGCAAAAATTCTGAAGACATATTGTTAAAATAATATGACAACTGATAGTTCATTCTGATGTCCTTGGTATTCTAAGATACCCCAGTGATGGCTGAATCTTCCCTATCATAAAAATAAATCTAAACACCTAAGGCTATTCTTACAACTGTAATATAATAAGCTTTTTCCCTGTTAATAAGCCATCTCTTCTAAAAAGAATTTTATACATAATTTGATTAAACAGGGGGGTCAGTGTACACATTTCAAAAGACAGCTTCATAGCGCAAAGATACTAAATCAGAGGTGTGGAGATTTAATCAACAGACTGTCTGCTGTAAACGTGTCATATTATGCACTGGCTAAATAATAAGCATGAATTTACAAACTCGGATCAGATTTCAAAGGAGCTCATAATAAATAGTTGAGATATTTCTGAGCTAATGAACCACATAAAACCTGAATGCAAAAACCTGAAATGGGAAAATTCTAGTGACTAGATAACCACATAACTGATACTCCATGACACATCTAAGTTTAGTTTTGTTTTCGAATGCAATATCTCTGTCATAGTAAACAGTTACCTTCTAGAATATTCTCTGTACTCCTCAACATACTTTAGAGCCTGCTGTTAAAAACTGCTCAGTCAGGATGGCTTGACCACCTCCTATTTACAGATTTCATTCGACAGCCACGAAAGCTGTTTTGCTGCAATTAAAGCAATGCTTAACTAAAATACAGTACCTGATTTGTGGTTTTTACATAATTGAGTAAAAAGCCTACAGAATAAAATTGTTTACATCTTCTCTGCTATTCTAGTAAAACAAAATATTAACCCCCACCTTTTAAAAAACTTTACAGTTATGAATTAAAACCTAGTTATCATATTCCATAATCGACAAGACAGGCTATTTCTAGTGGGCTTAAAAAACACACCGCAATACCTGGCCTGCAGGAGCAGGAGTAAGGCACATGCAGACATGACGGTGCGCGCTGGAGAGTGGACCTGAGAGTGCCTGGTCTGATGTCGTACATGGCCCTGGGGGAGTGAGTCACAGCCCCTGGTACAAACAGCTAATGCCTAAGAAGCAACATTGTCTCTAGTCTGGTGGCTCCATTGTGAGTTTCAATACTGAAAGTATATTAAGGGAAGATTCACTTTCAAAAAGATAAGTTTTTCAAAATGTTCCATTGTGAGCCTGGATTGGGCAAAGCTACCATTCTCAGTGGGTGTACTGAACAGCTTTTCCGAAGGGACAATACTTGGGGGACAGCCCAAAAATCTGACTGCCAAAGTTGACAGCCCCGGCCAGGATGACTTCTTTAGGCTCCAGTAGGTGAGCGGGTCACAGCTGTGTTCAAGAACCTCCTCTTCCAAATACGCAAGCACCACGTCTTCAGGTAACTTTTCTCTCAGATCTTCCTTTTTCATCTTGGCCACAAGTGACCACAGGTTCTCCTCTCCAACAGAGTCTTTTGATGGGGAACCCGTGTCACACCCATTGGAGGCAGGTGTGTCATCTGAGGTAGAATTCAGTATTTCTAGTTCCCTGATTAAATCTTGCTTGTACTGTTCCGCCTCCTCCTCTGAAAACAGGGAGGCTTTGTAACGAGGGTCCAGCAGTGTAGCGAAGATGTACCTTGGGTCGTGGAGGGTGGCGGACAGTCGGCTCACCATGGCTTCCTTCAAAGACTTCAGCATGGTGTCGATGCCCATTGTCTCCTCAAACAACATCTCGATTTTCCTAGTGAGGATGTGGATCATGGGGATGACTTGGCTTAAAGTGGACACGTGGGCGCTCATCTCTCGACTGGCAGCATCGAAGGGTTTCAATGCGTGACATACAGACTGCATGACTTCCCACTGGTCACAGCTGATCAGCTCCCTGAAATTACACTCGAGGGACATCTCATTAACTGCCCTTTTCTGTTCAATGAGTCGTTCAAGCATATGAAATGACGTGTTCCATTTGGAGGGAACGTCTTGAATAAGATGGTGTTGTGGTAGTTCATATTCCTTCTGCAGCTCTGCTAGTTTCTCTTTTGCTTTGGGAGACCGATGCACCCGCTCACATATCTTCCGTGCAATGCTAAGTAAATTCTGCACCATTCTCTGGCTCTTGATGGCCTCGTTGACGATCAGGTTAACCGTGTGACTGAAGCACTGCACACTCGAGCGCTCCCCGTCGCTCAGCGTCTTACCTATGCTTGGATTGTCAGTAACCGTAATGCCAATCTGTAGGCCAACGGAGGTCACCCAGGCTTCCCACCAACTTTCCAGCTGCTTCTGAATGCTGTGGCCACTATAGTCGCAATCAATCTGTGACACGTCTAACAGTGCTGAGCAATGGTGGCCTGCGCAATGCGGTCGAACTGACGACTCGAAGGTAACCCAGTGAGCCGTAAGGGTCAGGTACTCACGGGTCTGGTTACTCATCCATATTCCAGATGTGAAGTGGATCACACCACTTTCAGCTTCTTTAAGATGTGACATAATTACCTGTTTCACATTATCATACATACCTGGGATAGCTGTCCTAGAGAAGTAGGAAGGGGAGGGTAGAGAGTACTGAGGTTTCAAGTATTCGAGTAGCCTATTAAAGCCAACGTTGTCTACAAAAGAATATGGCTGAAGGTCAAGTGCAATCATTTCTGCTATGAGACTTGTGATTTTTTTGGCAACTGGGTGAGAATCATAAAACTTCTCATTGGTGTCATCGAAGGAGGAAGTTCCTGATAATTCTGTGCTCAGTGGCACACGGATGTCTGGAGAAGAGGGCAGCACTGTCTCTGAGACATCAGTTTTCAGCACATTGCTATGGAACCTCTGTAAATGTCTCAGAAGGCAGCTGGTGCCCAAGTTGGTGGGCTTCTTGCCCCTGCTGATCGTCCGGCCACAGTGTAAGCACACGACTTTAGTGGAGTCTGCAGAGCAAATAGAAAAATGATTCCACAGCTTTGAGGTCTTTTTGCTATTAGCGGGAAATATAACTTGATTATTTTTTGTGACCACTGTTGGCAAGTCAGTTAATCTAGAGGAGGAACTTTCTGCAGAAGCCAAAGTGGCATATGGAGAATTTGCCAAGCTTGCACCTAGAAAGCCCTTTTGGTTCCCAACCACTTCAGGATGGCGTCTGTACAGATGTCTCATCAAACAGCTCGTGCCCACGTCACCTTTCCTTCCCCGACTGATAGCACAGCTACAGTACCTGCACACTGCCTTGAGACTGTCCGTGGGTGCCAGTGAAAAGTGGTGCCAAACTTCTGACTTCAGTCTTTTCATGACCTTCTTATTCTGCTGGAAGACAGCGCCAGACTCAAACAGCCTAGGACTCAACCTTTCACCCTGCTGCTTCTCAGGAGAAGACACCATTGAGGCCTCGCCGACGTCATCAGAGGACAACACAGACACATCTTCCATGAGCGCATCTCCAGGACTCAAATGCGACTGCAAGTCCTCTGTCAGCCTGTCAGGGGAGGAGGAAGCTGAAGGGGACTCTTTGACCAGCTTTCCTGGAGACGACGACACAGAGTTTAGATCCCCCTCTGGAGGCAACAAGGAAGTTAGCAGGGTTGGAGGAGTGGAGTACAGCGGTGGGATGCCCGTGCCGCCCCCGTTCTCCTGCAGCACGATGGAGCGATGCGCCCTCCACATGTGCCTGATGAGACAGCTAGTGCCCAGATCCTTCCCGTTCTTTCCTCTGCTGAACTCATTCATGCAATGAATGCAGACAGCTTTGGAATTGTCTAGGGGCGACAGGTAGAAGTGCTTCCAGACAGCAGATCTTCTTCTGGACCCGGATGAGTTCTTTGGAAGTGGAAGGTTTTTCTCTGCTATGTTCTCTGCAGTTTCATCATAATGGAGAGTGGGGAGGTGAGGAGATGACCCCACCAGGGCTTCTTCTCTGCTGTACTTCTCAGAAATGGACATGTCAGAGGAAATTTCTTCAGAAGAAACTACAGACACAGATTCCTCTGTTATTCGATCAGGGGATGGGATCTTAGATGCCATTTTCTGGACAAATTTGATGGGTGAGAGTATGGTGCTGAGGTCTCCCACGTCGGCAGGCTGTGGCGGAAGCAGGAGCGAAGCAGAAGGGAAGGAGGACACGGTGGACACGCTGCCATTTTCCTGAACGAGCACAGTCGGGTGCGCTCGCCTTACATGTCTCATGAGACAGCTTGTACTCAAGTCTTTTTCATTTTTACCTCTACTAAATTCTTTCATACAGTACATACATATTGCTTTCGTACTATCTCGAGGAGAGATAAAGAAATGTTTCCAAGCTGGAGATTTCTTCCTGGAGCCGATGTTTCGGCTGGAAAGAAGGCTCTGAGTCACAGCTTCCATCGCTACGTCATACAGTGTACTGCTGTACTGAGAGAACAAAGACCCATAATCTTCCTCCTTCTCGGTGGATAAATATTTCCCAGGGGGCTTACAGGTATAGCTCGTTTCTCTGATTTCCGCTTGTTCATCACCACTGTCTATCCATCGCTACGTCATACAGTGTACTGCTGTACTGAGAGAACAAAGACCCATAATCTTCCTCGTTCTCGGTGGATAAATATTTCCCAGGGGGCTTACAGGTATAGCTCGTTTCTCTGATTTCCGCTTGTTCATCACCACTGTCTGCTTGTTTCATGTCCTCTTGTTCACTTTTAAAGTCCACTCTTTCCAAACTGTGACTAGGAACTCGATCATCATCTTCCTCTTCTTCTTTAAAATTTATTTTATCAGAAATGACATCACTATCCCCTTTGGGACAAGTTTCCTGGTTATTCTCCATGACTGACCATAACTACTCTGGCTGTGTCATCATGTTAGTATCTTAGGTTAATAAAAAATTGATCCCAATGCTCACCTCTGCCCCCAAATGTAGATTCTCTTCACTTTTTCACAATAATTCTCTTTCAGGATGGGTTTCTATGAATATGGCTGATTATAAATATTACTGGAAAGTAGAATATGTAAATCGTATAAACATGTTGTCTTAGGGCACAGATCACTGCTTTCCGGGAGTTCTACTATTAAAGACTTCATGGCGTAGACACAAACTTATGCAGTGGAGACTTGCTTCTTGTCTTAAAGACAGGATCCCCGCCATCTTGACAGCACACACATGATCCTTCTGCATTACCTATAAAAGATGAAACCAAATTAAGCACAGAACTAAATCTCACATTTCAAATCTATACTATATCATGGATACATCAGCTCAATATGTATACAACAAAATTCCATAATGGAAAACAAACAGAAAAACTTGTTCCTTGACTTTTTGCAATCCACTTGCACAATGAAAATACCCGAATGCTGCAAAATAAGCAAAAAAGTAAAGATAAGAATTCAAATTCAAATGGCCTATTAATAAAGGATTTGGAAACATGAATACAAACCTAAAAACCTACAGTGATATAAAAAGGTAACTTATATTTAGAATTTATGCCCTCACCCCTCAAACAGTTTACCAGAGGTACTCACAGCTGCTACAATCAGCAAAACCGAATTCCTTGAAATCAATTCATTCTGCCTCGCTATGAGAACTAATATATATAATAGGAAATTTTAAAAGTCCAGCTAAACTATGAAACAATCAATTCAAAGACTACAAACTAAATACAAGAAAGACAATGATGATCCTAGACGGATGAAAGTCCCATGAGAGTAAAGCAACTCCCAGCCAGCCTTTCTGTTCACTCACTCAGTGGTCACTCCCAGAGTGGCGCTGTACTGTGCAGGAGCTGTGGTGCCACCGAGAGGAGGCAGTCACACGGCCTTACAGCTGGCAGAGGAGACAACAGTCACCAAGAACTGAAGTTTTTTTTCCTTTTTGTCTTTTTTCGTGACCGGCAATGGATCGCAACCCTCAGTGTCGCGCCCGTACCGGACCGGGACTGGCAACGGGATCGCAACCCTCGGTGCCGCACCCGCACCTCGCTCAGCCAGTGAGCGGCCAGTCTGTATGTGGGATCCGAACCCTCGGCGGGAGTGCCACCGCGCTCCCAAGCGGCGCACTGTAGCAGTGCGCCACCAGGCCGGCCCAAGAACTGAAGATTTTAACTGTAATAAATGCTGGAGGTACCTGTTAGGAAGGTATAAAAGAGCAGGATGGGACCTAGGAGAGCAGCAGGAGTTGTCAGGACATAACTGAGCTGAAACTTGAAGGATGATGATGATATGTGGGGTAGGAAGGGAGCAGTTTAATGAAAAAGTAGGAAAAAAAGTAGCAACAAAAAACCATTCTCAGCAATATGGCAGCATAAATTCTATGATAATAAACAAATAATAAAACTTTGACTCTAGAAAACCTGTAACAAACTTACTTTTTAACGTGTTAGTGGGCCTACAAGAAAGTGGGAGAACTCTCCAAAGACACAGTGAGTGGCAAACCCATGGGAGAGGCCAGCTGAGCCACAGCCAGCTGTGCAAACACAAGGGCGACATCTAAACAGCTGGGCCACACTGACTCTGGGCTTCCGCCAATGGAGCACTGAACCCAACATTCCCGAACTGTACAGGAATCAAGGTGGTGAGGAAGCCATGTCCTCAAAGAGTGAAAGAGCACACTATTAGTAATATTACTGGGACAACAGGCTTAAGCCAAACCTGTCTGGGGCAAAGCAGGATATGGTCACCGTATAAAGTATTCCCATGTTAATTAAAAGCTGCTATTCCCACCAGAAACAAATGCAGATTGTTTCTGAAAGAAAGCATTCCAAATAGTAAATTCCACAAAGTTCAGACAAATAAAAACTCAAAATAAAAAATTGGCATAAAAGTAAAACATCATTAAACACACAAGGAAACAAGCAACCATGAGTGAAAGTTGGCAGAAGCACACTTAGAACACCAAGGACTTTGCTTACTGGAATTACTACATAAAGGATAAAAAATAATTATATATTATATATCATGGTATTTCTTTTTCTTTTTTCCCTTTTTGTCTTTTTTACTGACCGGTAACGGGATCGCAACCCTCGGTGTCGCGCCCGTACCGGGGACCGGCAATGGGATCGCAACCCTCGGTGTTGCACCCGCACCACGCTCAGCCAGTGAGCGGGAACTGGTCTCCACATGGGATCCGAACCCTCGGTGGGAGCGCCGCCGTGCTCCCAAGCGGCGCACTTTTCCAGTGCGCCACCGGGCCGGCCCTATCATGGTATTTCTTAAAACTTTATATATAATTATACATATATAAAATGTCTTATAAAATATAGAAAAAGAAATATGAGCAAAAAATAGATTATAAAAAATGAGAAGACACATTTGGGAAAGAATCAAATAGAACAATTAGAATTATAAGTATATGAAAATCAAAACCACATGAGATACCAATTCACACCCACTAAAATAGCTATCATATAAAAGCAGACAATGAAAAGTGTTGATGAGGAAGTGGAAAGTGGAAACGGGTATGTACTTTTAGTGGGAATGTAAAATGGTGCAACTACTCTGGAAATCAGCCTGACCTTCCTCAAAAAGTTAAACAGAGTTACGACTCTACCAGGCAGTTCCAATCCTAGGTAAATACCCAAGAGAAGTAAAAACATAGGTTCATACAAAATTGTGTACATGAATGCTCACAGCAGTATCACATCAGCCCAAAAGTAGAAACAACCCAAATGTCCATCAACTGATAAATGGATTAAAAAATATATATTCATATAATGGCATACCACACATCTGTAAAAAGGAATAGAGTACTGATGCATGCTACAACGTAGATGATGAAGACACATCAAGCTAAGTGAACGAAGCTGGACCAAAAGATCATATACTGTACAACTGAAGATAGATGAAATGTCCAAAACAGGCAAAGCCACAGAGACAGAAAGTAGTCTAGTGGTTGTCAGGAAGACTGCTAGAGTTCAAAGTTTCTTCTTGAGTGATTAAAAGTTCTGGAATTAGAGAGAGGTGCTCGTTGAAACCTTGTGAATATACTTTAAGAAGGTATATTTTATGGTGTGCAAATTATATCTCAATAAAAAGTAATTTTAAAAAAGGATTCATAAATATATGATTTTGGAATTAAAATCAAAATGAAGGAAACTGATTAAAATCAGCTGAAGAAAAATTAATATACTGGAAGACAGATCTAAAGAAATTATTGAGAAACCAGCATTGACAAGAAATGAGATGAAAAATATGAAAGAGAAGATAAGAGTCACACAGGAGAGAATAAGGCAGTCAGAGCTATGGGAGCGGCAACACTTGAAGAGATCATGACAGAATTTCCAGAACTAATGAAAGACACGAATCTACAGACAGGAAGCATCAAGTATACCAGATGGAGTACATAAAAGGATTATTTGAATTCAGATCCAAACATAGACACCTTGTAATGAAACTGCCCAATGCAGAGACAGAGGGATATGCATAGATGGATCTAAAAATCAGGCAGACTTGTTTGGATTTGAATTTTTAAAAAAAAAGGTATAAATTAAGAAAAATGAAGTGGGCTGGTTGGTTAGCTGAGTTGGTTACAGCATGGTGCTGATAAATACCAAGGTCCAGGGTTTGATTCCTGTACTGGCCAGCTGCCAAAAAAACCAACAAAAAAACCCAAACAGGACAAAGAAAAGAAAAATGGAGAAATATTTAACATCACATGTATATCTGAATTTATCAGGAAAATATTTATTTGGGTGGTGAAATGAAGTTTAAGAAATAAATAGTGAACTATCTACAGATAAGGTGATATAATACTTGGGTTTTAAATAAAATAAAAGCTGCATACCAAAAAAAAAAAAAAAAATGTCCATGTGCTTATGATTTGTAAAACACGGTGCAAGGCTTATGGGGTTTCACTGGATGTAGTTTACTATTCTGTTCAATTTTGTAAATGCTTGAATTTTCCATAATAAAAAAAATTTAAAAATTATAGACTGATATAATAAGAATAAATGCAAAACTCCTTTCAAAATTTTAACAAGTCAGATCCAGCAATATATAAAAAGCACAATACACCATGGCCAAGTAGGTTTAAGGTGAAACCTACAAAGTTTGTTTAACATTCAAAAATAAATCAATATAATTCATCACATTAAGAAAATAATGAACAAAAACCATATAATTTCAATAGATGCAGAAAAAAAAATCTGACATAATTCAACACTCATTGATAAAAATTCTCTGCAAATGAAAAACAGAAAAAAATTTCATTTTCAGCCCACAGTCAACATCATTCATGCTTAATGACAAAGACGGAATGCTTTCCCTGAGATCAGGAATGAGACAAGTGTATTTGTCTCACCACTTTCAGTCACACTAAACAGTGGCAACCTGAGCTGTAAGGTAGAAAGAAGAAATAAAAGGTATACACACTGGAAAGGTGGAAGTAAAACTGTCTTTATTCATATTCAACATGACTATGTAGGTAAAATAATCATTAAGAATCTACAAAAAACTACTAAAAATAATTAATGAATTTAGAAAAGTTACAAGACACAAGGTTAACATACAAAAAGCAACTGCCGGGCCGGGCCGGCCCGGTGGCGCACTGGAGAGTGTGCCGCTTGGGAGTGTGGCGGCGCTCCCGCCGAGGGTTCAGATCCCATGTGGAGACCGGTTCCCGCTCACTGGCTGAGCGCGGTGCAGGCGCAACACCGAGGGTTGCGATTCCATTGCCGGTCCCTGGTACGGGCGCAACACTGAGGGTTGCGATCCCGTTACCGGTCAGTAAAAAAGACAAAAAGGAAAAAAAAAAAAAAAAAGCAATTGCATTTCTATAGATGAACCAGAAAATAAAATTTAAAAAAATTCCCCATATAACATCCGAAAATATGAATGTTGGGGATGGCTGGTTAGCTTCCTTGGTTAGAGCATGGTGTTATAACAAGGCAGCTGCCAAAAAACAAAAACAAAAACAAAAACCCAAAATAAGAAATGTTAAAGAGAGAAATTTTTAAAAATATGTAAAAAACTGTATACTGAAAAATATAAAACACAGCTGACAGAAATTAAAGACTTAATTAAACAGATGAAGAAATATACCAAGTTCATGGGTTAGAAAACTCAATATTGGTAAGATGTAAATATTTTCCCAAATTGAT